AAACAAATGTAAATATATAAATGTGAAGGGAAAATTTGTATAGGAAAATTATTTGCAAAAAATTTGTTACAAAAAAAAGAAAAAAAGACAATAAAAATAAATGAGCTCTAAAAAAATCAGAAAGTTTGAATTTTTTACCACCCTTTTGCTTTATATTTTATATTTTACCAATCATTATTTTAGTTTAAAAAAAAAGAAAAAAAACGAAAAGGAAATTAAATTAAAATTATAATCAGAGAAAAACGTGAACAAATCATTTTATAATTTTTCTCCCTTTTTTTCCTTTTTCCTTTTTCCTTTTGCTTTCATATTTTATTTGATATATCATTTAATATTTTTATTGTTCATTATATCAAAAAGATGATTTGTAATGATAATAGACCGGATTTGAAATTCCATTTTACGGTTTCAATATATTCATGAAATATAAAATAGGACTTCTCTTTCCTCTTCTTTCCCTTTCCATTCTCCATTTTCCTTTTTCCTTATTTCTTTCTCTATTGATTAAACAAAATTATCATTTTGATAAGGAAAAAGAAAAAAAAAGTCCCGAATGAATGTTCTTTCTTAAAAAATTTTTTTTCCTTTTCTTTATGTTCGGCAATAATAATACAAGTTAAGTTTTCTTCCTTTTCTTTTTTTTTTTTTACTGAAAAAGATGAAATTATTGCATAAGCAAAAATGATAAATGTTCAACAGTTGGCAGTTTTTTTGAATAAATTTATTAATTAAATTAAATTGTCAAATGAACAAAAGGTCAAAAGCTCTTTTTTCTTGTAGTTTAAAAATTATTCGTAATTAAATTATTACATCTGTAAGTATAAAATTATTTGTATAAACATGAAAAATCGTCACCCTCGATACAAACTTTCATGTAATTAATAACTTATGGTGTAAAATCAATAATCTAGGAGTAATGGTATTGACAATCTGGATCTAATAGAATCCAGGTTTAGCAGTAATGGGAATAACTAGTAGTGGGAATAACAACCTGGATTGAATAAAATTAACAGCCCAGCAATAATGGGATTAACAACGTGGATGGAACAAAATTAACAGCCTAGCAATAATGAGATTAACAAAATAAATGGAATAGAGTTAGCAGTTTAGTACGAATAACAACAGGATTAGAAATAAGATTAACAACCGGGCTGGAATAGAATTAATAGCCTAGCAAGAATGCAATTGATAAGTTGGATGCAATGGAATTTGCAGTATAGTGGACAAGGCCTGAAAGTTATTCCTATTTCTCAACTTATTTTTTTGTTTCGTTTTTTTCCTTTCAATTTCTTTTAAAAAAAAATACATTAATAGCTTATGCATTATTTCATCAATTTTTTCATCTTTTCCATCATAAAATTAATTTTAGTTTTCCAAATTTGAATTAATTCAAAAGAGTGAAAATTTTTAAAAAAGTTTTGCATAATGAAAGTTTTAGTATTTTACCTCATTCAATGATAGTAATTATCGATATTAACAAATTCTCAGTATCACATCTTATCATTTTCAATATCACGCCTTATCATTACTTACTTTGAATGCATTCGAATGAATTGTTTTTTTCACTTTTTTCAAAAAAAAAATTTTTTTTCAATAAATTTTCACTCCACTGATAAATATTGTTAATTAAAAGGTGCGAGCAATAATCATCGTATCAAATGATAACATACTTCATGTGTGAAGTTATCAACTTTAATTTTAAACATTACACCACTAATAAGTTCATCTAATTAATATGTATATTTCATAAAAATTTGCGAAATTTAAAAAATTATATTTCAATTTTATTTATTTTGAATTAGAAAAATCCATGATATCATAAAAATTTGGTGGGATTAAAATCAGTTTATTTTTTTTAAATTAGAAAAGAAAAACAAAAAAAGAAAACTAAAAACAAGGGGAAAAAAAACCAATCGAACAACAAAAATGTCTTTGGGATTAACGTTTGTATAAAGGCCCGGTTAGAAAGGCCGCTATTAGTAATAGCAGTTGACGAAGCGGTGGTTACTTTTGGTGTTGTTGTTCCTTGTTTGTTGGACGTGGTTTATTAAAGTTTGCGTGTGGGT